ATATACAAAATTTTAAACAATTGATCCGCTAGTTTAATAAATAATAATTAATTAAACCAAGTACAATTCTTTTTAAAGTCGCTCACTAAAAATGTTGATCTGCTTAAAAATAACGTTTTTAAAATTGTAATAAAGAACAACTTTGTTCTGTGTACGTCGATTAATATTTCCACAAAAAAATTCCCTGATAAGAAGTGCATTGAAAGTTTTTTGTTACTTTGGATTACGCAAAGAAGTTAATGGGTTCTAGCGCCGTACATTTTAACACTAATGTGTGAGTGTTCGTTCGGTCCTCAAACTGGCTAATTTAAATGTTTTGTTTTTATTAAAAATAATTTATTATTGTGTTAAAGTAAAATGTGAGTGTTGTGTGTTGTATCTACAATAGGACTCTCCCAGAATCGGCGCGGCAGGAAAAGAAAACGGGATTTAAAGGGTAAATAATGCTATTAGCTTTTATTTATGGGTTTATCATTTGTTAGTTGGTTAATTAGATAATAATTTATGGTATTCACTTTCTTAATTGAAATGGATATAAACATAATAATGTAAAGCTATATTTAGTAATATTGTGTACGCTTCTATAAAGGGATTTAAAAGATTTGTACATAGGTCAAACCTATCCCGTCAGATCTTAGTTTCATAAAATTACAATTTTCATTGCAATTATTTGAAATACAGAACATAATTCTTATTAATCCTGACTATTCAAGAATTAAATGCAGTGGAAATTTATTAGTACCGCATTATAGGGCGCCGCTCAAGCAACAAAAACAAGAGCGTTTAAAAAATACATGGACTTTTTCCATGTTTTTATGTGTCACTGTAATTATTCATTGCAAGTATTATTCTCTTTGTAAAAATGTGAAAATTTGCGAATATTTGTGAACACTTTACTATTGGAATGGCAAACACAGTTAAAATGAGTTCGATGTGCAAATGCTAGAAATTATTCAACAAATAATAATGTTTGGTAGGCAAAATGAATATCAGTGTATGTTTGAGTTTAGCCAAATACTAGATTTTTCTTCAAAATGAGTTTGTAAATCGAGTACATGTTTTCAGTTTCTTCAGAATGAGAGAGAGCAAATTTTTTCTGTTATTTCAAAAACGACCGTAAATTACACAAAGCAAAGTGACGTAATGATAGCGTTACATTTTATATTTTAAAAGTGATCTGTTGTAGTTAACAAAAATTACTAAATAAATTTTTATTGATGAACATACTTTAACATGCCTGAGGAATCGTTTACGCTTTAGAGGCGAGGGAAGTGCGACAGAATAACTTTGTGTCTGTACCCTAAATTTTTTTTTTTGCAAATTCTGCAAGTTTAGTGAAGCATTTTTCATATTTTATTTGTTTTTAACTAATTTAGTAATATTTGTCGGCATCTTTCTTATAAGTCAATATTCGTAATTTTTTGTTGCAGTGGGTTCCTATGTGAAGAAGCTGGGGACTCGCTAAACTGTAGCAGAAGAAGAAGCCACAAAGGTCAGAATTTTGTATAAATTTTATGGGGTGTCAGTAATTAAACAAAATTTATCTTGTATTTTTTTCTAGTTTGCGTAATTCTGACGATTTTTGAATTAAATTTTCTTTCTCGTCTGTAGGCTTTTTAAATACTGAACTTCTGTTTTGGTTTAATAATAGTGATGGTAATTGATAATTATTTATTTTAGGAGTTATCCCGTCTCTCATCCTGGCTATATAGCCCAGCTACTTTAGTCCTTGTATTTTAACGACAGTCGTTAATTTAGGTTGTCCATGTACTTCCATAATTTCATTATTTGTTCGTCGCTGCCAGTTTCCTCCATCGTTTATGCCATCATATAGTCTTCTAAGAATTTTTCGCTAGTGTGTAGAATACTGGAAAATAGTACCCTTAGTGTATATATGGCTTTCTTTAAGGATTTTTTCTAATATCAAATTAAAAAATATTGTAGACATGCTCTACATGCTTTGCTATAATACCGTTTTCCTCCTGCGCCTTATTGTTTTTTTATAATGCTTACAATTTCTTCTTTAGTTGGTATTTCATCCTCTTTTTGTTGTTCGTCTGTGTTTAAAATGCCTAACTCATTGTTCTAGTTTGTCATCTATTCCTCCCACTAGCTGCCCCATCTCATCTCTAACTATAGATTGTATTGGGCTCTTTCTTTTCTTGCCACCTGCTAAAAGTTCCTAATCTAATTATTTACAATTTTTTTGCAGGATTAATTTTCGTTCTACGAACAATGTTTTGTTTTCCCTGCATATCATCTCTGTTTCTTTCCTTTTTCGGGCATACAATTGTCCTGCTCTGTATCACTTTTATTTAATTCGATCTGTCTTCAATGTCTGTTTTCTTTCTCCCGTAATTCAATCATTTCTCCTCTCTTTGTCGTAGTTTATCATTGTACCTTCTGATTGGATTATTTTTCGGTTTATTGGCATTATCTGTTCCATTTTAACTCTAATTAGGAAATGGTATGAATTTCTATTACTCGTAGCTCCCCTACAGCTCTAACTGTCCTTCCACTCGTATATGACCTATCTTGTTTACTGTTCTTCCATTCGGAGATAACCAAAAATCTTTGGGAGTCGCTTGTACTGAAGATGTTTTGAAAAAAAAAATATTATACAAAAACAAGGAATACGAACGTTACCAATATTCAATTTAGGCAGACGTGTAAAGGTAGATAAATTTAGAAAAAAATAATTTGTCTAGGTATGTTATTTTATTATATCATTGATGAGGTTAAATATAAAATTTTTAGATTTACGCATAGCCAAATTACCAGGAGACAAAATAATAAATAAATAAATAGATTGATTGTATTGTATCTGAGATTTTCAAATTCACATATAGGTATGTGATTGATTTAAATAAAGTTACTTTACACTGCACCACATTACACAAAAAATAATTAAACACAAGAAATTTATATTTCTTTAAAATGAAGCACCGTGTGTTTTTCAGAATTAAAAATTACCTAAATGACGTCAGCAATAATTTTATAAAAAAAAGTGCATTTTTCCAACTTCAAATTTGTCCGTATGTGACAGAGCTTCTCTAATCCATTAAGACTAAATAATAATAATTAATGTGGCAGTCAAACGGCAGCAGCTTTGCCTTTGTCTAAATAGATGGCGTGTTTGCAATAAAGAGAAAAACTCGTAAACAGTATATTACGGAAATTTTAGTGTTTTGATACAGACGATTCAGGATCTCATCCACACACACATCACCGTCAATTTTCTAGCTACGCCGTACGCAGCGACCTTAATCATGATATGCCGACGCCGCCACCGATTCATATATTTCTTACTTACTCTTGCTGCCTTTTATTCGTATTTAATTTAAAGTTAATTTCTATTTCAATTTAAATCCAAGTGTGAAGTCGGTTGGTTTTAATTTAAATAGAGAGGGCGATTTTTCTATGAAACACGCTCCATTTATATTGAATTTAGTTTTTATAGATTTGTATGTTTTGTAGTAATCAGAACTTTGCTTAATAGATGCAATGACCCAAAACTGAAAGAGTGTGCTATTTGCTTTTGATTACGTGATTTTTTTAACTTTGGCTAAACAAATGTCAAAATGATCAGTATGTTTACTTTAAATCTGTACACTTGTATGACGTTTGGAAAAAAAAAGATTTTATGATTATTATGATTAAATTTAACTGATAAATCAATTATTGTTCAAAAATAGGTCAATTTGTTTGGAGTGCAAAATTTTGTTTTTGCTCTGTTGAACAAATATAAATACTATATTATTTTGCCTTAATATTCAGGGTACATAATTTTGTAGATATTGTTCTACCGATACAATTGAAATTTTAGTGAATTAACAACTCCCTGCAACTATACACTCGTTGGTTTTTGTTAATTTAAAATAAACGCAAATAAACGTATCCATATTCAGAAAACTAGTATAAATACTTCAGCGCATTAAATTTGCTACAATTATTTACTAAAAAGCATTGGCATGTACAACATATTTTACTATAATGTAACTACTCGAATATTATTTAATGGAAAATATATGTCTACTTCAGAAAAAAATCGTTTTACAAGAAATAAAATATTATGATTTCATTTTCTGTAAAAATATGCTTTCAGCAAATTAAAAATTGGGTAACTTTTTTCGTTGACTAACACTGCGTGTTATAATAACAAAACATCGAAAGAGCCTGAAATTTTTAATCTACACCATTCAGTAAATCCCGGTGATAACTAAGTAGTATTAAATCTCATATGTATGTTGTTAACGGCGTGTTACATAACTTTTTCTCTTTCATTAAAATGATTGCATTCAGAGTAAAAAGAACATGGTTAACTAAAAATCTAAAAAAAAAAATTGTTTAAGTTTTAAGGTTTGAGACACACAGATAAGTATTACATCTATAAACTAGTTTTTTGTGAAAATGAACCATCAATATTATTAACTGGCCGTTTCATGATTCATAAATAAACGACATTTTAATACCGGATTCGTTTACCGTCGAAAGTCTGCATTTTATTTTCATTAAAATTTAAGTACACAGTTTTGCCTCGTCTTTTTCTATTTCTGCTGTAAAATGAGTAGTTAATTTATACAGTGAATAAAGGCCTTCCAAAAAAATATCTCAAGTGCTGCCATAATTATAAGTGAATTTATATACAACCACTCTGTTATTCAATTCAGTTGACACTGAGTCAATTCTACGTGGTGTTCTAGATTACTGTCGATACAACAATATTTCCATTGTTGCAAATTACGCCAGATGTAAAACTAGCTTTAACGTTCAATGAAATTCAGAAAATCAAATTTCCAACGAGGTTTATTGTTAGCCATACTTATTAAGCGCACTAAGTATTTCGCTAGTCTGCACCCTCTCGTTCATATATGCATTTTGCCTGCAATGAATTTTACTCACCTCGGTTAGCTCTACTCGGAAATATTAACATCTTTACGAGGGTTCAGTTAGGGAGCGGACCAAATAAATTAATTGCCAACAACGTGGTCTATACTTACGTTGGATAATGAGGAGAGAGTGTAATCCTTCCTTAACTGAGAGGCTGGCTCAGAAAGCACTTTCGCTGCGTGGTTGGATAAAGCTTCATACACCTTCGGATTTATGTCGTTATTCTGCGAACATCATCAATATCATAAATAACAACTTGTGCATTGTGTCAAAAACAAAGCAAAAATTTTTACTTTTCGATCGTAAATGCGAACATTGTGTTATGATGATTTATTGCTAAAAGCCAACAATACGTTTCGAGTGATGGATAAATTATAACAATGTGAAATTCAGCATAAACCATACTGGTATTACAAATTGAATTTACAGATTTTTTTTATTTGCTAAAGGCAATAATGCTCTTGTATAATTACTACTGAAATTCCATTCATGTTAAATGAATTGACCCAATTAATATTAAATTAATATTCCACTGAAACGTGTCGACTGAAATGATGAAGGTAACCTTTGAAAGCGAATTACACATTCATTGTTAGTTTTTAACAGTCGAGTTTGAAAAACTTCGGACGGAACAAAAGGTTACAGCTACGCTGGAAATAATGAGTCTTTTAAAACACAAACACTGCCACACAAACAAACTTGTAATCCTTAATTACATTAACTATGGTGCTAGCATTCACAGAGAGAATTATTAATATTAAAGTTAGCGCAAAATACACTAGTTATTATACGAGTAAATCCATGACAACTAAAATGATGTTCAGACAATCTAAACTTGCTTTTTAACATTTTGTTTTATAGGATATTGTCGAAAATACATGTTGACTGCTATTTAGAACGTAGAAAAAACAATAATCGAAAATAAGTGTTAAAAATATTTTATTAGGTGACGACTGTTGTAGTCTCACTGTTGAACCAATTGGGAATTATGAAGGTAAGGAATTGTTGAGACTATAAATTTAAAACCGGTGTACAATTTTTTTCTCTATTGTAATTCAGCACCGTAAATACGAGGTTTATACAATAAAAACCGAGACTGTCGTAATTATACCTTTTCACACTAATAAGTTACAGAAGTGTCACAACCAACATAATTTAGTTCTGGACGTAGAAATTTAGTGTGCCTAAAATTAACTCTTGGCTCTGGTAGTAAGCCAAAATGGTTTCTTTTTGGCCCTTATCTTAAATTGATATTATCACGATAAAAGGATGTATTAATCAGTTTTAAATTCGTTTAAAAAAACCGGAGTCAAAAATTGTTATAATGTACTAGATAAGTATATATCACTTGCAGTTAAATTGTTTGAAAACCTCAACAATTCTTAATACTAAGACTAGCACTACATGATTGTTACAATTTACCCAGTAACTAATAGAAAAAATGTGTATGATACAGTTTGAATAAAATTTGATTATTTTTACAGGATTAACGTACACAGATTTAACAAAATAATAAAGGATGTGAATTCAGATGCTAAATCCATTATCACGCACGCTTCAAAATGGAAAAGTTTCAAAATAATAAAAGCTTTCCTAAATATTTAATTTCCTACACACGGAAATTGTTTTTCCATCGCATTGGATCAGTTTGCATACTGATCCAAGAAAGAAGTTTATAAATTGTTTAGAACTCATGATGTTTCCGATTAATTTATAAATCCAGTTTAATATTTTATTACAGTTGTACAAACGTCCACAATGCGAATGTATAGAATCCAAATTGATAAAATGTTATTAAGACAGAAGAACTTCCCTCATCTTTGAAGCACATTCCTCATGGATGTTATTACTTTTTCGTAAAGAAATATATAATATTTCAATTAAAATCGTTTCTGAGAAATCAAAATTTTCGCTACTTTGGCATGGCACCACTTTTTGAAGTCGTCGAACTCTATTTCATAAATTTTTCTGTTGTCTACAAATCAACTTGATAGAAACCATGTTTTGTTACTCTTAGAAACAAGATTTTAAGTTACTTTATAACAACTGAATTGTTCATTTTTGTCATTTGGAATTGCTCCTTTTGTAAATAAATTATTGGAAAGTGCCAACCAACGCATACAGAGTGAGCCACTAAGCGCGTACTCCTCGATATTCCATCGAACAAGTAAGATTTAAATTGTACAACTTTTTGAGGAGCATATATACTAAAATTATTTTCAGCTGTACATAAGTATATTCTGTTTTTAAGACATAACACACAACTTAGTTTTTCTAATGGAATAGCCTATATACATACAATTTTATATATTCTAATTGACCTCTTCTTAAGTTTCATAACCATAGTTTATTTTCAAAATTTCAATGAGACGTTGCCAATTTATTCCAACTTTTTTGAAATCTTAACTATGGAAGGGTTCAGAAAAAATCCAATATAGTTATTTTTAAAATCTGGGTTAGAGATAAATAAAAAAGCTTTCAATATATTAAAAATAATTATATTAAATTATAATTTTCAGATATCGATATTTTAGTTTTTTCAAATAAAAAATCAATCCTTTATTGTTATTTATTTATAGATCAAAATTTGTGGTTTATCAGTGTATACATATCATTAGAATTGCTTGCAAAAAATAACCCAAAAAATTACTGAATGAGACAATTTATATTACGAATGAAATAAAACACTGCACACTGCTGATTACACTGTTATTAATACCATATAATCGAAGAAAAACTCCTCTAATAGGTCTTGCAACTTATTTTTAAAATAATGATGTTGGCATTGCAGCTTCGACCCTTTATTTGACAGTTGTCTGACTGGAACTGTCAAACTGAACAAGGAATGCGTTGGGGTTGCTAACATCATTATTTTAAAAATAAATTGCACGGCTTACTAGACGAGTTTCTTTTACCACATGGTGTATGTGTCGTTGCTAAAAAATTGCTGACGTCATCATATTTTTTTATATACAGGGTGTTATTGAAAGGTACGTACAACAAAATTGACAGTTCTTCGCGAAGTCTAAGAAGTCTGAAAAACTTATTTTGTGTTATCAAAATTGTAAGGGGAAAATTAACCCTTATCCAACCTTTTTAGACGCTACTGAGAGATAAATTAGGTAAAATTAATTTATTTTAGTAAATCCTAGCAAGTGTAACAATAAAACTTTTGTCAAGACTAAATGTTGCTATAGAAACGAGAGATGATCTTTTTATCAGAGGCGTACAACGAATTTGGACAGAAATTTTAATAATTTTTATCTCTAAAAGGAGAACACTTTTACCTGAACTTTTTTTAACTTTTAGCACCCATACTTCGAGACCAATTGCCGATTTTATTTTGTACGTACCTTTCAATAACACGTTGTGGAAATATACGCATAACATGCTCATTAACGTTTAATTTAACAACAGACACTTATTTTTAAATTAACTTACAGGAATTATCATAAAAAATAAAATTGTCAAAATATTTTTTTTTAATTTGAACCAAGAAAGTCTCTAAAATATTGAAATTGTCCTTCAAAAATATTATGAGGGTGACAGAACTGATAACTCGAAGGGCTGACTAATAAAGTTGTTTTTGCCTTCAGCTCGAAATCTTGTTAAATGACCTTTCTAAAAAATTTTAACATTCAGCAAATTTAATAATATTGTGAAATAATATGTGTGTATAGAACATTGTACCTATATTAAATATTATAATTTCATTAATTACGAAATCCTACTATTCTACCTGTTTAAAAGCCAAATGTCTCTCGATAAACTTTTTAATTTAATTATGTCGAGTTCATTATTGTCCTATTATTTATATTATTATCTCATTAAAGCTTGCTGCTTTAATTCAAGTTATTTAATTTATGAGAATAACAGTAGAAATTCTAGAAACGAAATTTTAACAATAAAACTCGCAACCAAAAATTTCAAGCTAAAATGCATGTTTATTACATAACCATAATGGAAATTTTAACAATTATTACGAGTAAATCCATTTTAACAATTAATTATTATAAACATTTCAAAAGCTTTTATTTCATAAGAAATGAACTATGCAACTACTTTTTGAATAATGTGTTTGGAGTACAAATCTTAAGTCTACATTACTCGATAGGGAATGATTTTAAAATTACATAGCGATATACTAGATAATCGTGAAAATATTCAATTACTTAATTTAATGCAGGAAAATTCACAATATTTACAACTTTCATAATATTATATACATAGAAACAACAGTAAAATATATTATAATCTGTATTTATTCTTCTAACTGAAAGTAGCCAGTTTTAAGTTATATTAATTATTAATATTAAAATTATACGTCATTTTTCATGTTTGAATCCAACAGGAAATACAAGAGCATCTACACAGAAAAACAACTAACCTGAAGTCGTAACATATATTGCAATATTTCACAAGGTAATGACATATTCATTCTTATGATTCTAATAAAACGTTAATAGCCCAGAAAGCACATAACGGAGTCTGGCTATAACAAATAAAATATATATCCAGGCTGTAGTATAAGCATTTGACGACAGTAGTAAATTACATCTTACGTATAATAATTCTTAAAGGCAGCTTAAAGTCAACAAGAACTATTAAAACTCAGACATGCATAATTTGAAACTGGTGAGTTTAATTTGTGATTATGGGTTTTTTGTTATGACGAATTCAAGTAAATTTCGATTTATGTGTACGTTTAAAATTAATGATTTTTTGTATATATTAAGCTATCAACTTCGTTTGTTATTTATCGGGAATTAGTGATAAATAATAATTATTAAGTGATTATTAAACAATATCCACCGATTAACACCGTGACAATAATGGTGGATGCGCCGGGCTTAATAAAATTAATATAAATTAGTAATTTTCCATTAATTAGTACTAAACACATTAAATGTACTGGCAACAACATTAGTATAAATACTTTTAAAGAGCACGTCCTTGTTATGAAACTATTCTAGTTAAACAAGATATCACTAGATAGAACGCGCAGATGATGTAATTGTATTTTGATATGTTTAATGTAATCTGATCCATAATATAACTGTATGCCCTGAATTCCAAAGCAGTTAAATGAACTAAACAATGCAATGTTAATTACAAATTTATTTGTGTTCTTGTTTCTGGGATGAAAAGAAACTAGTTCTTGTGATAATTTTGAGCAAATAATTGACAAAAATTAAAACATACTAGTGAAGTACAAATAATATTT